CTTCTTGTTTGCATATTCAGAAACCTTCCCCCCGCCCCCTCAATTTCAATGTGTGCTGCAATGTGTGCCGCAATGCTCATTGGGCGCTTCTATGTAAACATTGAATTTGGGGGGAGCGGGGGGTCTGGAAGGTTTCAAGATTTGTGGACAAACAATTCCAAAATTGTACTATCGCGCGAGGCCATTTTCAGTGTTCGAAAAACAACGAAAACTGTAGGACGCATTATAAGGTACCCTCATAGTACAAGCAGGTTCAGTGCGGCCCGGGTCTTGGCAGCTCAAATATAAAAGGACCAGCAGGGACAGGAGGGCTCCTAAAATCTACCGTGCACCATTCACGCTTATGCCGTTCGTCGGCTCTTCGGCCCAACCTTCGGCTTAGGTATTGGAGGGCACGGCGACTCTCAGAGCTGTTGGCCACCGTTGGCACAGAAACGGCAGCGTCCTTGAGTCCAGAAGCGCTGCCGTCCGAAGTAATATGATCATGGCCAAGACCGCACCGACGACGCCCTCAGGGGGCACCGCCCCCGGCCTGGCCGCTCTCGGCCGCCTGTGATGGAGCACGCAGGCCCGCGGCCACCGCCTCCGACCGCGATCCGGCGCGATGAGAATCCTCAGTTTCAGACACCGTTTCCGCCAGTCCTGACTGACCAACATGGTCCATGGATGCCCGCTTTTCCCTGGATCGAGCGGACGAACATAGATCGCGATGGTCATTGTGTGCCCTTCGTGCCAGGGCTGCTGCCACGGCACAAGACATTTCCTGCGAGACCATTCGATTGTGCACCTCAGCAGTTTTCCGGCGAAGGCGCTCATGGACCGGCTTCGGCGCTGATGGGCCGTGCGGGGGCCCGCTCGATAGAGGACGGGAACATCGCCCGAGTCCGGCTCCTCGCAGGGTGCTGCCATGCCCAGGCGTATGTCGCTGCCATGCGAATTAAACAAAAAATGCCACGCCCGCATGGTGGGGCAGGGCGCATTACCTCTTGACGAAATTGCGGAGGCAAGGCGAAGGTCCGCTGCCACAGTTCCACGGCGTGTATAAGCCCACCGCCCAGAAATCATGGCACGCCGAAACCGTGAAATGCTGCAACCGCCAGCCCGCCTTTACTGAGACATTGCAGTCCACCTCAGCGCGCCCACGTGGGGAAATACTTGAAAACACTGTTGCCCAGGCTTGATGCTACCAGGGCGAAGCAGATGCGCAGGCTCCCCCCGCCCTTCGCCAGGTGAGGCAGCGAGCTTGCAACTCTCCAGCAGCAGTCAGCTCTTGGCTGTGGCCTCCCAGAGGGGGAGCCGGCACCTGCGTGATCGGAATTCGACTGCCAGCTGAATATTATGCCTAAAGGCTTCAAGCAGCACGACACCAAACAAGCGCAAGTCAGTCATTTTAGTGCCGTGTTCATAAAAGAGGCAACTACTCGCTAGTCAGTCCATGGCCCCCAAGTTAATCGCACGATCCGGTGAGGACCAAGTCGGGGGCAGCAGGGCCGGCGGAATGTTAAAATGTTTGGCTGGCGACCGGAAGCTCTGAATAGTCGCTTTCACGCTCGAGCTGGGGATCACGATAGCACCGTCCAGCGACCTGCCCTGCTCCGTCACTCCTGCTTCGCCAGCATAACTCCAGCACACGTCGTCAAGGTAACCAGGTGCTGACGTCATGAACAGTGTTGTCAGATTCCCGAGAGCCTCACAGAGTGCACAGCAGCGAGTGCGGAAGCAGCTGGGCGTGCAACAAACATATGCGGCCTACTCCGAGCGCTCTGGCCGCGCACAACGACGCCTGCGCCCGCTCCTCAGATGCGTCCCACGAATGACAGTTCGAGAGGCTTTGCATTGTTGGTGAAAATCGCAAACTTCGCGACTTTGGAGGCTGGAAAAGTCCAGCAATTCTGCTGCCTTTGCTTGAGCGGACCTTGTGTTTGCTGTGTGGCCTGCCTGTCCGTATGGTGCCATTTGGCTTGCGGCCTTGCAGGTTACCCGAAGGCTAACTGACTCATTTGCCCATCATCGATGGTAGATGGTGGAGTCATGAGCCTCTACAACGTGCCCACCCACATTTGCAGCCTAGACGGTAGGCACGTTGCGTGTGTGCAAAGGTCTTGGGTCGCCGGCCGGTGCAAGGGTGCAGTCTGGTGCTCAGTTTGCAAACTGCTTGTCTGGTGGACCGGGCCCACTCCTGTCAGCTACCGCACAGCATATGCATCGTCATGGATGTCAAGGTGCCTGCAATAGCCAGCAGCTTGCAAAATTGCATTTAGCGTTTGCCGCGATGTTTGCTCATGGGCGCATGCGCCGGTGAAGCTCCCTGGTGCTGGAACATTCATCTCTGAGCTCAAGCCATGGCATGGTCGCGCGACGCCGCGGCCAACGGGTTCGGAGCTTACAATCTTACCGTAGTCTCTGCACTCTTCTGGTCTTGTTCCTGCAGCTTGCAGCTGTCCCTGCTATCTTGTGCTTCACGTTGGTAGATTTCTCGGCTTGCGCGTGTCATTCTTGCATAGGAGCCATGCTGTCTTCTCTATCTCGTTCCTCCACACGGCAAACGAGAGTTCAACTGCTGAAGCAATGCGAGCTTCGCGAGAACATGCTTTGATTCATGCATGCTTTCACTGAAGAAGTGTTGACACCGTTTGGGACATGACCTGGACCATGCTAAAGGCAGCTCCATGCACCAAAACCGTGCAGGGTCCCGCCTCGCCGTTCATTTTAAACTTTTAAAACCTAAACGGGGTGTGGGACCCGGCTCTAGAAAGACACCCGGATAAGACCCAGCGAGCAAAAAAACGGGATTTGGTGACGCAGAAGGTGGGACTTGGATGGGCCTGGTGGGATCCGGTTGGGACTCCTCGCAAAAAGCGGGACCTTGTGACCGCTCAGATGATGTGGCCTCAAAACCACACGTTGATGTGGCTTGAGAACCACACGTTAAGTGGCCTTGATGTGGCTTCAAAACCACACGTTTGTGGCTTATTTGGCTTCAAAGCCACACGTTTGTGGCCCGGATGTATTAAAGGGGCACCAGAAGCCTCGGACCTGAACGAACACGGGGGCTGCCTTTCTTCTTTCTTTTCTACAGAGAATTCTAAGCCGGAGCTGGCTCCAAGTCCACTTGCTGGAGCTAGAAAAAGGCTTCAACAAGCTTCGATGATCTTGCAAGCTATTGGCTATTGCTGACTCCATAGAGCCATAGATCTTGGCAATCCTAGACTAGACAGGAGCTTCGATGATCGTGTCGCAGCGATGCATCCTAATAAACGTCAAAGATCTCGATTGGCTTAAAAAGATTCCGAGATACCTCGATGACATTGCAAACTAACACTGCTCTCCAGTGGATATAGAAGCAGGATGAGCCCAAGAAATGATGCTGCGGACGACCCCGTTTCTGGGCCCACGAAACGAAAGCAATTCTGGCTTCGCCGCAATGGGCCTCCCCAGTTGCAAATCCGCTGGTCGCGAACTGGGAGCTGGATCGTACATTCGTTCCAGGAAGGTATCTTGATCAGATTTGAAAAAGACTTCTCAAAGCCTTCGAGCCTTCACTTGCGCTCGAGCCTCCTGAGGCCAAAGAAAGATGACAGCGAAATGAACCTGGAGTCAAGGTGCAAAAGATGGAACCACCATAAAGAGCAAAATTGAGGAGATGAAGATGCAAGCTCTGGTTACGGCGGAGTCTCGCAGTTATATATAGACACAGCTTCAAGCTTCATGCTTCGCAACAGTGCATTTGAAGGGCGCTTCCACCAAAAGCTCTTGTTGCTCACCAAAAGTCTTCCGCATCCTCCGGTAGAACACAGTTTCTGAATTCTGGAAACTGTGGACAAGAAGGATCCTGCACGACAGACGCTGTGAAAATGCTGTAATCTTGGATGTCCTGATGTTTTGGCATGTCTGAAGCTGTTAAGTTGGGTCAGTGACTGCACTCGTTTGTTTCGTTTTGCTTGGAAGTGTTTTGCTTGGAGCTGAATGCCAGTTGCATAGGACGCTAAGTTGCGACTTGCTCCCGCCGACGCCCACTTTGGGTGCGGACCAACTGCAGCACACGCGGCTCCAAATGTGGGGTCGAATAATCTAAGCAATTTTGGCTTCGCTTGAGTGGCCTCTGTTCGAGGGTCGCGTTACTCGAGGAATTTGATGTTGGCGCAGGAAAGAGACTTCCAGACATCTTGTGGTTGGCATGTGTTGCATAAAATAGAATCGGATGACGAATTTTGTAAGTTTTGCTGCATAGAACCCAAATTTCAAGCCAATAAACCAGCCCGCCAAATGTTGCTGTTTAATTCGAATCCAAAAGAAGTTTCTTCACAAATATATGAGTTTGTAAATGACAGCCGCCTATACCCTGGTGTGCAAAAGCGAAACCAGCTACGGCGCTTTGTTTTTAGCCACCAGCAGAATTCAATTCAAGGCTCTCTTTTCCACTTTCACTGTGACTTTCGCTCATGCTCTCACTGTCTCTCTTGCTTCTGGCTCTTTCTTTCTCTCTCTCTCTCTCTCTCTCTCTCTCTCGCTGCTTCTCTCGCTGTCTTCGGATGCAAAATGGTTGTGATTGCAGCTGGATTTTTGTTGAATCCATGCAAAACTTGAGAAATCCGAGACCGAATATTCAAGCAGTGGCCCCAATAACCTGCAGCTGCAAAACTCTGCGGGTCAAGCGAACATGAACGGCATGATTGCTTTCTCGCAGTTCGAGCCTTCTTCTGGGCTTTTTGATGGGCAAATATGACAATTACACCCCCGCACAGCAAGACTGACGCAATGGAAAAACCAGACAGACAATCAGTGTTTTGGGTGGAATCGGTCCCATTTGCATCTGCCGCCACGGTGATACATTTTGGCTTAGCTTCCGCCCAGACGGAAGGCAATGCACAATGATATTTTGTTTCGGCACACACTAAGTCTAGGTTGAAGGCGCTCGAAAGGACCCTTCAGCCGGTGCGCAGCAAACGTGTTGGTGAAAGTTTCAATGTTTCGGTGTTTTGTGCATCTCTGTGTGGAGCATGCGCCGCGTTCGGACCATTGCTGGCCATGTCCATGGCAACGGCGAGGCGAGGAGGTCTTACACGAAATTCGCGGTCTTTGCAGCTTCCCATGCCGCGATGTGGTCTGGGCTTGCACGTTATGCACGTTTTGCAGGCCCAGGTAATCGTCCCGACTATACTTCAAATCATGTTTAATCCCAGAAAAAGAAAGCCAGGGACGCCGTGTCATTTTCGCATCCGTCTGGTCCAGGGCCCGCTATGGGCGGCGCTGATGGATTCGGGCCATGACCCGCTGGCAAAGCCACGGTTGGGGTGCCGCTGCAGCGCAGACAAGTGGCCTTGGGCTTGAGTAACTTTCGAGTAGGGGGTTGTAGAAATATCTATACTTCGCCATGACGTACCTTGCAGTTTTAGGTGTGTATCCTGTTTATTTCAAGTCGTCGTAACTTGCTGTGTCCGTGAGGGATCTGAAGGCTTGGGGATCTTCCTATCTGCAGGGTGTTAAGAACGTTGAAGCTTTAGGGTTCTTGAAGTTTGGGACGACTGTGTGCGCGCGCAGGGGCATGAGTGCTGCTCGTTGAACCCGCGCCTGAAAGCATGCCGTATTCGTGAAAGTAGTTTGGCCTTTGCAGCCGTGTCAATATGCAGCTTTCTAATTGGCTGCATTCCATTCACACGAGCCCTTTCTGCAAGGCGAGACTTCGTGCGTTCCTACTTGAAGTCCCAATGCTTCCTTCAACTGCAGATGAGCCTATAGGTCCCTGGAACAGAACTGTTGTACGAGTATTTTAATGCCTTTATCAAGCCCTTCTTCGACCAACTGGACCTCTTCGCCCGATCTTGACCTTAAGCCCCAAACACTCGCCCACACCGCAACCCTGAAGGTGGCAGTACGTTTGCAACTGTTATCCATGCCTCCTTCGAGCTGGACGCGAGGAGGCGAATCTACGAAGATGTCATAGCGCCAAGTTATCATGCATCGTTGGATCGGTGTTCATGGTAATTGGCACGATGTGTGGTACTAACACATTGTGTAGCAGTAGTTTTGGCAGTATTCTAAATTCTTATACTATGCATAATGGGTGTTTGTAGATGGGGAGATTGTTAGTTGAATGCTGGTGGCATGTTTAGTCGTTGTAGTAGGATTCGTGCTAGTCTTCGTATTTGTTTGTGCTACTGGTTTTTACATAAGCATCAAGTGAGCACTTTCAGTAATGTCCAAGATGGTGTCAGGACCTTACATGGCTAGTGTAAACGTTCCACACACATGGCCTGGTTCAGGTGTGTTGCGGCTTTTTCAATTACCCAGCAGGGAAGCTTTTGAGTTCCCATCAGAGACAGAGAGATTTGACGAGATGTTGATGGCTGTAGCCTCTTATGGCGGCAATGAGCTGTATCTGGGTTGTTCCTTCAACGTCGGCTTGGATTTGCATGCTCCGTAAACAGCCCCAGTTCGTTCCTTTCCCAAGACAACCTTCAAGCCTCTCCTATTTTAATTTCAGAGGTTTCATCAGTGAACTTCAAGTGATCACTCTTGCTCTAGGATCCCGTATACGACGGCGCAAACCTTCGCCTTTTTAAATGGATCTTGGGGTCTGCTGCTTCTGATGTTTTTGGGTGAATTTGTTTTCATAAAGCTGCGAGAGATGCAGCAAGCCAAGCCAGACCTCGAAAGCCCAAGCCCCGAGCGCCAATGAGCCAGATTCGCCAGATTCCTGATCCCAAAACCTTCGGCAGCTGCCCGTAACCCTGAATCCTAAACCCCATGCACCTCTGGACTACACATCCCCGCTGTGCTACCAAGATGCTAAGCCTCGAGCCTTGCGAGGACTTCGAGTGGACCCCTGGCATGATCGATGCAAGGCCCGCGTCCCTGCCCTGGCAGTGGCGTCGCGCTGAAGGCTCTCATGAAGCGTCCAGGATGCAGCCTTTAGGGTTGAAAGCTTTGGGCTTTTGTATTTCTCGGTCACGGGTTCACAGTGGAAAGATGTGCAGAGCCAGGACAAGAAGGATTCGGAAGGATACAAGTTCGCCCGGATGGCCCCAAGTTCCGACGCACGATCCATGAGCCCTCAACCCTCAGCCCAAGCATCCGATAATCCGATAGCCTGGCGGCCCAGCTCGGAAATCCCAGTGACTCAGTGACCCTCGAGAGCCGAGAGGCTCCTTGAGCGTGGGCGCCTGCTCAGACCTGCCGAAGGAGTCATGAAAGACATTTAGATCAATAGATTTGAAGGGGTTTAAAGGATTGAAGGGGAATGCCGGGGGGCTTGAGATTTGGCTCTCGAAGGGCTACTTCAGTGGGTTCCGTAGATTCTAGAGTATCGAACGAGCGGCTCCTGGACTTACATGATGACTGCGTCTATATAGAGTTCGCCTTTCTTCTGGCGGGAGGCGCAAGAGCTTGGGACTTTTCGTTCTCAGCGTTTCGATCTTGACCCGGAAGCCCTTTTGCACTAGATGGCCCTTTGCCCCAAAATCTCAGGTGGTGTCAGTTCGGCGTTCGGGTTCGAACCTTCAACCCCTCAGCCCTAAACTCCCTTAAAACCCCCACAGCATAAACGCCCCCAAAACCTAAGCCACTTCCCCCAAACCCTCGAGCTTGGCCAGGATCCACCTTCGAAGCAGGAGCCGCTGGTCACCGAGGAGAACGGCGGAGACGGTCTTAGCATCCGGGAAAGGTGCTCTGAAAGGGCTTTTCTAGACATTCTGTATGATCACATATTTAGGTTTTCTGCAAGGGTTCTAGAACAAGGAGGTTCTATCAGGACTTCCAGGGATTCCAGAATCTGAGAAGAAGGACTGGTCTCGATGTTCTGATGTCCTTCTGCTAAGGCGCTTCTGAGCTTTCCAAGACTTTTCCGGCGGCAGGTGCCTGAACTTCCAAACCCCGCAAAGCCCACAGAACCTGAGCGTGCTACGACTGTTACGAGTATGAGATCTTGGCGGAGGGGGTCCAAGGGGATCTATGGCCTGGTAATTCAGTAATTCAATACTCTGCGTTAAGCATCCTACGATTGCCTGTCATGGCTCAAGGTTCAGCTAGCTCTTGTCTGGATTGTATCGTTTCTCTTGTTGTCCTAAGAGGGTCATCCAAGAGTAATCAAAGCCGGATTTCTCCAGTCCGAGTTTCGTTGTGTCCACCTCCCAACCCTGGACTGCACTGATGTATATAGAACAGCCGCAGAATTTGCGCAGCTCCCTTGACAGCCCTCAGTCTTGCTTGGGGCTTTGATGGAACATGGATTTCCCAAGCGTTTTTGGCTCGTGGATGCGGGTGCCAGCCCTGGCGAATGGAACTTTAAGCTTGCTCTTCCAGCACCGCCTGCACAGCCCTGAGCCTCCAGGAGCACGCCGGCGTGGTGCGCCTTCGACGAGATGGTCAGCCCGCACCACTCGGGCCAGCAGCCCCGTCGGTTCACCCTCGTGCCTGAGCTGATCAATGTTTCAGAGTTCAGGGTTGAAATTTTAGGGTTTAGAGTTATAGGGCTTGGGCATGTCTTGTGGGTTGGAGTGTTTAGGGTTCATAGGGTTTGGAGTTCGGTTTTAAGGTCCAGCGTTTCTGGGTTTCGCGGGTCAGGGTTTTCAAAGGCCATGATGGCAGAACATGGACACTGATACGGCAGCAGTAGACATCGTAGGAAGATTGGACGATGAAGGATCGTGCCTCTGTGCCGGCTGAAGTGCCATAAAGTGCACAGTAAAGGACACATCAGTGGGACAAGGAGCTCGCCGAAACAGCTATCCATGCATGAGCAGCAGGGCGGGACCTCTGGGGGGGCTGGAGACTGCCGTCGAGGTCCTTGTCTTACATGGGTAGTTATCAAAATTAAGGTCCCTTTTTGGGTAGTGCTGTACTACAACAGGGACCCAAAAAGGGACCACAATTTTGACAACCACCCACATAATTCGGCGTTGTGCACTCTTTTTTGGCAGGCAAGGAACAGGAGAGGGACATCGCTCGTAGCAGAGGTGACCTGCAGGCTCGGCTCATCTTGAACTGTCAGACTGTTGGAAAAAGTTAGCTGCTCCGAAGGTGGTTGAGCTACTCTTATCCGGAATGCTGGTGAGACGATAAGTAATTCAAGTAATCATTCCAGCACTGGTGCTAATCACCTTAGACGCTGTTTGGCCGCGCACCCTACGCTTCGCCGCAGGATTCTGTCACGTTTTTTTTTGGGAGAGGGTTCTGACCAGCCAAGGCTTCGCCGGCATCGCCACCTTCGCGCGGCTTCCGCAACTCCACGTGCCTCGTCTCCCTTCGCGCGGGGGGGCTTCTACTAGGGGCAGTTTACAGTTAAAGGCCGCCGCTGAGGAGGAGCTGGGGAGCGCAGAGCCCGCAACGGCCCCCGGCCCAGGAGCTCCGCAGCTTCGTCGGTGCAGTCTCGGAGACCAGAGCCACGCTGGAGGCTCGGCGGAGCTCGCGGGGCGGGGGGCGTTCTCGGGAGCTTCAAAGGTCGCCCTCCTGGACCCTCCGCTCCTGTGTTGGGGTTCACCGTCAACCCAAAGCGGCCCCACCCTGAGCCTGTCTAAGCCCTCTTCCGCCCCCCCCCCGAACCGGAAACCCCGAGGTGAGGTCTTCGGCTTCCGGTGCTGCTGAGAGCACGGTGTGCTTGAGTGGCCCCTGGCATGTGCCTTGCGGGGCTTCAAAGCTGCGGGGTCTCCAGGGTTTTTAGGGTTTGCCTGCTTGAAGTTTGGGGTTTAAAGCTTGAGCTTTAGGAAACTCTAGGGCTTGCTGTTGCTGTTTGGAGTCGAGGGTCGAGTGTGTGTGAGCTTGAGCTTAGCGATTAGGATTCTTGGCTGAGGTGATGGTCGTTTTGTCTTGCGGTCTGCGTTCGTGGTTTAGCGCTTTTGAAGCGTAGATATTTTCTGCCAAGCTGGCGAGGAGGTTCCGGGGTGTGCGCTTCCTTGGGCCCCTATTAAACTTGAAGAAACCGGGAAGCCCAAAGCTCTGAAGGGGCTCTGGTTTCGATTCAAGCGACAATGGACTTGTGTAGACAGTCCCCAGACCCCAAGCCGCCAGGGTTTGGGACCAGAGTAAAGGAAATAGGAAAAAAGGGTGAGCTTCAAACAAAATCTGAGTAAACTCTGTCTCTCGAAACCTACACATCACAAACCCTATGCGACATCTTGAAGCTTTCAAAGCCCCAAGACCTGAACGCCCAGGATCCAGAACCCGAAACCCTAAACCCCAAGCTCTGTCGAAGAAATCCAACATCCTGAAAGAACAGCCCGCGCCAAGCCCTAGATCCTAACCCCAAGACTCCAGACCGTAAGCCCACAACCTAGACCCAGACCCTAGATTACGCCGACCCAACATGCAAAACCCTCAGCCCCAAAAAATGAGCGCATACACCCTCCCAGAGACTATGACGCGCTACTGTGCCTTCGTTAAGAAGGACGTGGGTTCTTCGACTCTGTCGCTGCCAGTGACCTGTGAGGATGGCTGTGCCGCACGGCGACGATTTTATGATGGAGTGGTTGCTCCACGGGTGGATTTTAGAACGGGGTCGCTGGGGTATACACTTTAGAATTCTGAGGGTTGTTGTAGGGGTTTGTAGTTCGCTTAGTGTTGCCAGGCAGCTGGGAGTCATCGCCGCTAGTCCGGTTTCCCTGCTCAGCATCAGGTCCACATCCGATCAGCTGGTGGTCAGAAGATCTCTGACTGCACAGTGCTTTCACGATTCTGCGCTGACAGCGATGAGTCAATCCATGCATCTCTCTCTCTCTCTCTCTCTCTCTCTCTCTCTCTCTCTCTCTCTCTCTCTTTTCCTCACATTGCAAGCCTCAAGCTTCACGCCTGAATGATAAGCTTTCTCCTGGCAACCTCAGCCCAAATCTCCAACTCCTAAAACCCAAGCGCTGAAACACTAAATCCCAGGGGCCCCCCTCGCAGGCTGAAGTCCCAAATCCTCTTCTGAGCCCAAGCCGCGGGCCTCCCCCGGGCCTCCTTTGAGGACTTTGGGCCTCTGGGCTCTGCCCTCGGGCCGCTGGCATCGCGTGTCGGGAGCTGTGGACCTGCGCCTCACCCGCGCCTGGCCTGGAGCCTTTGAAGGGTTTGTTTTTGGGCCCTTTTTTGTGGGCTTCTTGTCTTCTTTCTCCCCTTTTTGGGTTTTGTCCTTGTCTTTGAGGGTTGAGGGCTGGGGGGTGGCTGGGAAGCGGGGTGGCCAGGGCTTCGGGGTTGTTGGTTACGTCTCGAGCCGGAGCAGAGCACTTTGGACTTTGGGGCTTCGCAGCTTCTTCTTGGGGATTTTGATGCAGCCTCATTTGGGGCGCTTGGGACGGGGCACTCCAGGCCCTGAAGCCTCAGAGCCGGAACCCTGAAATCCGAAACCCTCAATAAACCCAAAAGCACACAACAGAAACCCTAAAATCCAGGCCTGCCGAGAGAGCAGTTCGACATTGCCTTCCTGGGTGTTCCCTTCGACTCCGGCTGCAGCTGCTCAGATTGAACGCTCGATGTAGGACTACTACCGTACTGCCAGCGCTTTTTGCGAGTGTCTCTCTGTATATATATATATATATGTCATATAAGTATCTCAAGATAAATACAGTCATATATATGTATACACATACATATGTATATATACAGATGGGTAGATAGAAAGATTCTCCTCAAGTTTGTGGCCCCTGAAACGGCCTCCTCGGAGCCGAACGAGCGGAGGCTTCCGCCCGGGGGCGCGTTTCGGCCCCGAGGCGATCCGCAGCAACTCGCGGCTCATCCGGCCCTACATGAGCCTTTGAGAGAAACATGGGGGCCGGAAGGGCGGCGTGGGGTTTAGCTGGGTTAGGGGTTCGGAGTTTGGGGGTTGAGAGTTTTGCAACTCTTGTGTATGATGTGGATTTACGTAATTTCGCGTTTGAGAGTCCATGGTTGTGAGCGGGGTGGGATGAAGGTAGGCTTCCACTTCCATGTAGGAGTCATCTTCTAAGTTTTGAGGTCCTGTTTTGGGAGGGCAGGAAGGGCTGCGGTTCGGGCTCTGCTGCAGGTTTTTGAAAAAGGAGCGTGTTTGGGTTCAGCTTCCGGTTCTTTGCGGAGTTGTCAGGGCTTCGAGCCATTGTGCTGGTCTGTTTCGCACGTCGCACCAGCCAGCAAATTCAGCCCCTAGTTGTGCTCTTTGGCGTGCTTCGTAGAGGGTGGTGGGACCGACCAGTCTCACCAGCAAGATTGTGAAGCGCGGGGACTTGGTGCTATGACTTGGTGCCTTGTGCTTCTCGATTTCCCGACTGCACAGGATCACGCAGCAGCAACGCCCGCTGCTGGACAGGCCGGTGACTGTCGGGACTGGGGTTTTGAGGCTCTCCGGAGCTGCAGGGTGTGCTTAGGATGGCTTCGCCCAGTAAGCTTGAGTTTGAAAACCCAGAAGTCACGATTCCTTGGAGTCTCTGGGACTTTCTGCATCACAGTGTCACAGCTACCCGCAGGGCCCCCCTTTTCAACATCTCGTCTCAAGCCTGGCCCAGAATCCTGAAGAAATTGATCCATCCGCTTGTCACTCTTAAAGCCGTTTGGACACCAAGCTCTAAACCCGGAAGCCAACACCCAAGACCTCGAAGGACCCCCCACCCTGAATCAACTAAAGCCTGAAGTGCAAACCATGGCTCCCAGGCAAGTGGTGGACACAGGCGATGCGTCTCCCACGCCTTTCAACATCCAACAGGCAGTGGAGGCCAGACTGTTCTTGGGGTTCTGTCATTCGGGGCTCGGGCCTTAGGGGATTCAGAGTAACTCGTGAATCACGGGAGGATAGGAAGGGGAAAAAGCAAAAAATCAAAGGAAAACATAGGGCCCTACTCGCTCAGCCCCCGCTCCATGGGACTATTGAGCTGCCTGTTATTCGAGAGGCTGTGCCCGATACTCCAACCCTCTAGGGGCTGTAGGGTTCCTTCGGCGTCGAGAAGTAGAATTTCCAGACGACAGGGAAACGAAATTCCGGACTACAAGTCCCACATGTGTCTGTATGTGCATTCATCAATGTATGCACCGTTGCCTGGTTTTGCATGTGTATGCACGCATGCACGACGCATTTATGCCATGTGAGCACGCACTCAAGTGGCTCTTCCTAGCTAGCAGTAGCAGAAAGTCAGCATACACACAAACACATGCCACGTTGTATTCTAATCTAGTCTTTTTCACCTCATGATGTGCGCACGTGTGCAAGCTCGTACGTGCCTGCAAGTACGCACACGATTTTTTGCACAGATTGCTCAGGCATGCATGCGTGCATACACCCTTGCTCGGCTGGGACAGAGACCGTTCGTCCGAATGCCGTCATGAATGACTATAGGTTATAGGCCTACAAGCATTTGTTACCTTTATGCATATACACATGCAAGGCATAGGCAGCTACGTGTATACATGCGTGAGTCGCACGTGCATGCATCATCTGATGTGTATAGATACATGCGACCTGGAGCTTTTTCCACTCCGAAACCGAAGGCGCGCGTTTGTCCTCCTCCTCCGAGCTCTGCAGGAGATCCACGCTGCTTGCAGGCAGAGGCTCGAGATGGCGCGGCGCCTCGTCGTGGTGGGGGGTGACCACACCCTCAGTGCCCCGGCCGGCCAGGGTCTTTTTGTCTTTGAGTTGTGTTCAGTTTTCCTTTTGGGGCGGTTGCGGGTTGGCGGCTAGCGGTTGCGGGGGTGTTTTCTGCAGCGCATTCATGGTGAGGGTGGGCTTGGTGTCTGCGATTGTTCGGTGTCAGGGGCTGCAGTCCCTGATGCCCTCGTGTCTTGGACCCAGACTCCACCAAACAAGCAATGCGTTTTGCATGTATATCTACGTTGACGTTAACATATCCGCGCTGTACTGGCGAAGCCAAGGTTATCCAGTTATCAAAGCGGTGGCCGAGAAGTTTGGTCCTGTGGTGCTGGTGTGCTGGCTCCCGGAATTTCCGGATTGGGAGACGAGGTTGAGGGGTTGCCCACGGTCGCCAGCCCCAAGCCCTGAACCGAACCTCCTTACAATCCAAGGGGCAGGGTGTTGATGTTTCTGCAGTCCTTCTCCTCGCTTCTATCAGCCTGGAGCTGATGACAAAGGTGCACTTTGACTCCCACTTGGACACCTTTCCGCCCATGCTCCCTGGCCGTTGTTGGTCCCGCGATTCATGCAAAAACCTTGCACTGACCACAATACTGAGTATCAACAAGTTCTTCCCACATGGCATGGTTCCCGTGGTTTTCCATACCTAAAATATTGCGGGATGTAGTCCATCAGCGGCGAGACGCGTCCCTTCCTGTAGGCGGCAGCATTTATGCCACTCATAATGCTGGGAAAGTAAAAATGGGAAGAATCTGACGCGAGCAGCAAGGAAACCATTAGAACGAGAAGCGTGCCAATCGTCATTGCCACGATCATCCCACTGTAATTACAACTTTCATAATCAGCTGTCCTGCCATGTCCGGCCCTTGTTGGTTTCGAGGCTTCAGGTTGCGTGCCTGCTGCCTAGCAAGTGCCTTAAAATCCTCAAGACTTGGGAGGGCGCGGCAAAGGCTTTGAGCACCGCCATTTCTAGGGCCCCAGGGCAGCCTGCCAGAGCTGGAACGTACAGCGTTTCAGGCTCCGTGTTGGGCACGACCACATATACTGTAGGAAGAAAGGTTTTAGGGTTTAACGTTTGGGAACCTTCAAGACCCTGGAGGTTTTTAGAGAAGAAGAAAAGTAGTGGCTGATTTCGGAAGTCCCAGGCATCCAGGCTCAGACTTGGAAGCTCTGCAAACCCTCACAGCACATTCCGAGTTTCTTCCATCGTGCGAAAAGCCTACAGCCGACATTCAGGCTGCTACGAGTGATGTAGGGCTTAGGATACTGTCGGGCGTAGGATCCAGAGCTGCGTGTTCTAAGCCACAAGCCTTCTCTGCACCCAGTGCTCTCTATGACAAAGGTACGGTCAGCACGTCTGGCATGGGGCTCCTTTCCGCAACTGTTGGGAGGAGGGGCTGCTGGCCAAGGACGCTTCCGAATTGGGGCTCTCGTAAGAGAAGGACAAATACTAGAGGTTTGCGAACTTCGGGATTACGGCAAGGGTTCAGGGGTTGAGAGTTGAGGGAGATACAGGCCAAGTTTTCCGATGAAGCTTGCTTTTTGTTGGAAAGTGCTGCTGCTCGGCTGGGTCTTTGCAGTCTCGTTGAAAAACTGAGCCACGATCTGGGCTGAAAGGCCACACTTTCATGCCACACCCTGCAGTGTCGTGTTGAGCCTTTGGGCTGAGTGGCTTGGGTGTTCATACTTTGCGGGTCCTACATCGCATAACCTCAAACCTTAACACAACCCTCGCATCCCGAAATCCTGGTTTCTGGAGGCATGTTTTCTGTTGATTCAGGACGTGAGGGACATAAGAGGTTAGCCTAGGGAAGAAATGCATTAGTGAGTAGTATGCATATACATGTTCTCGTAGACACGGTCCTTGTGGTGAACAAGAATTTTGGTCTAGTTCGGAGTTCTGTGGTTAGACAGGTCTTCCTGTTAGATACTTCTTCGGTTAGACGAGGGCTTCTCTTAAGCCAGGGCTTTATCAGACAAGGGGTTCTGTCAGACGAGCTGTATAGGACTTTTGATTTTACTGTGGCCTGGCTTGGCAGTATAAGCACGTACACCCATATCTGCATCTCTCTGCGCATAGTTGCACACATACACCCGTACACCTACTTGTATCTGCATATATGCAGAGAAGCTTTGGGTTTTTGGAGGTGGCCAACTAAACTTGTTGCCGCCGCCCGAGCTGAGCGGAGCTGATGTTTATGTGCAGCCAGTAAGCCTCGAAGCACCAGAGTTTCGCCAACATGAGCCTAGTTTGAGGGCTTTTTGCGGGCTCCCGGCCTTCCCAAAGAGGACGGCTCCACTCACATTGGCATCCGAGCCACGACCTACTCGGCGGAGGAGTCGGCGGAGGGGCTTTGGGAAATTTGTGGGTTTGTGGTTCAATGTGGAATTCGGCTCAAAGAGACTGGGAGACGCCACATCTGTCTCTTCATCCATGAGCTTTGCAGGGCTTTACAGAAACAGCTAGAGCCCGCATACAGGGTTGGAGGATCCTTCAAGGTCTGTGCATCCCGCTTCTCTCTCCATCCAAACACTCCACGTCAATCTGTGCTTTCCAATTTCCAAGTCCATAAGCCCCAAAGCCACCGAACTCCAAGTCTCCAAGTCACGAGGCCCGAAAAGTTATGGTTTCAAAAGCCCGGATCTTCGAAGCACAAATCGTGAAGCTGCCAGCCCCAAAGCCTCAACCCTGCAAGGTGCACCCCTACCCCAAACCCAAGCGTTGCTGCAGGATTTCCACGACTCCGAAAACATGGGCATTGCGACGCTGACGGCCGAGGATCTCCGGGGAGCAGTGTGGGCTCGGGCTTCCGGATTCAGGCATGAGCCAGCTTTGGTGTTTGTCCTCTTCAGTTTCTGGGCGCGACGGGCTTTGGGAGTTTGTCGTTTTCGGTTGGCTGATGAAACCCAGGAACCCCAAAGTCCGAAAGCCTGGAGCTCCTTGAGCCTTGTAGCCCATCTAAATCTCCAAAAGAAAGCCCGAAAGCCAAAGTAGGCAAGGCTGGGGATCCGCTCAGGACGTCCACGAGCGTGGCGTTCCGGCCTGTGTCGAGGTGGAGTGAAGAAGTAGTCGTCGTATGAGTAGTAATGATGAACGTGTGAATCGGTAGGGTTTGGGGTTCAAGTCATGGTGACATTGATAATCAACAGCCGGCATGAGTCATTATGATCATGGTAGCAACGATGGCACTGATCATGTTACTAGTGTTAGTTGCCATGATACATGAAACAAGTGATAACTAGCAGTACTAGCGAGACGAGTCACAACGGGAAGTGTCCTTGTTCGTTCAGAGTTGAGCGAGGCTTAGGGCATGTGGGAGGCTGTTGAAGATTGGCATGTCGATGCACCATCCTGATGAATCGACATCTTGATTTTCGGAGAAGGTTCTTTCAGGGGACCTGTCGTCCAATCTAAGAATCTAAGCAGAAGGCCCACTGCCACGACCGGTGCATGTTTACCGGGTCTGGTGCCCTCTTCGGCAACTTTCGCCCCGGCTCTTCCCTTGCCACCTCCCGTGCTTGCCGTCTCCGGGCTTTCTCTCTTCCTAGTGCGCAAACAGCCGCCGACCTGAACACGAAAGTGGCTTTCCGGGGTTCTGCTGTCTACCGAGCGGCTTCCATTCCTCTCTCCTTGCCCACTCCTTCTCCATGTTTCTGGCTGCTTCCCCCTGAGACAACCCAAAAACATGCCACGCTTGAGCCCAAAGCCCGAATCGCTAGAGGCCCGAGACCCGGCCCCGAGAAAACCCTCAGGCGGTTTGGAATCGCTGGCGGCGGTCTGTCAATGCGCCAGTCTACCTCTCCGTGGACCATCGGCTTAAAGGGGGGCGGCGCAAAATTCATCCTACAACTCCCCTGTGAACAAGGCCGGACTCCAAAACCCCAGACTGCATGATAGCTGAGTATGCATGGACAGAACAAGGATGGTGCAGAACGTATGGTCGTTCAGAGCAGCGTGCCCAGGGTTCGGTTGATCATGCAAAGGGAGCGTCTCTGAGCTGGTGGCGGAAGTCTTCGAGGCATGTGTGTTTCAGGAAGGGCGAGAGATTTGAAAGCTGAGGCCAAAGCCCAAACAAGGTTGCCATGGTTCCACTCCTCCTGCCCCGGATCGCTCCAAAAACCACCGCTGTCTCCCTGACAGAAGCTGTGCTCTCTGAACCCACCCCTCCCCTCAAAGCCACACCAAAACGAGGGCACCCGTCTGAAGGGGTTTGTGCCGCCAGGACATCGACGTCTTGGATCCCTCCGTGGCCCCCGGGACGGGAACACCGGAGTCTCGAGGCAGCGAAAGACGACCCCACAAAGCTCTCCATGGCTTTTGCCGACACCCCATCAGGGAGCTTTTCTGCCTTCTTGCAGGGTCCCAGGGTCCAGCACGTCGCCGCGCGCGCTGTTTGGGGATGCCCTCTTCAGATCTTGTTGGGTGCATGTTGGGTGCCTCATCCTGCGGAGTTTTTCGGGTAAGCCGTTCTGTCGAAGCCCGGATGCTTAAAGAACCGCAAGACTCCAAGACCATGTGCTGAGGTTTGGTGGCCTTCTGGCGCACCAGCTTCTGCAGTTTATCCGGGGCCTGATGCTGGGCTGATCTTTTGCTGGGGCCCCTTTCCCCGTTCGCCTGTGCTTGTATGCTTGCGACCGAGCTGTTGGATCCGGGCCCACAACGTTCAACATTGCAGCTGGAGGATTCGGAGAGTTGAGACTTGTAGCTTGAGCCCGAAGCTCCGCAACGGAACCCGAATCCCAAACGCCATATTTTGAGCAAAGATCAGCCGTCCCTTCTGGAGCAGCCCGTAAGCGGAGGAAGGGGCTGCCGATTGTTGGCGCCGATGTCGTCGAGGCCCGGAGATGTCACGACAGAGCTCCAGGGTTTCGGGTTGGGGTTGTGGGTTGTCAAACTTCTTGGGTTTTCAGGATCATGTAGTCTGCTGGCTTCTCAGATGGGAGAGTACCTCGTGGAGCAGTCTTCAGGCGGAAGGTCCCTGCACGCCTGCGCAAATTCCCTTCGTAAACCCACCATCAAAGCTCAGGCCCGCCGGCGCCCGAAGTACGAAAAGCCTTGTGCTGTGAGGCGAAAGCAAAGCAGTGCTTGCAGCTTGCAAACCTCCAGTCCATAAGAAGTACCTTGGGTGCCGAAAGCGGGCGAAGTAACAAGCAGTCTGCCTGCAACGTAACAATATTACGAGTCCCCCTTTTTTGAATCGTTAGCTGAAAGTGCCAGGACTTGGAGTCTCTGGATCCTCGTAGCTTCGCAGGTGGCGCCCGCCTACGACCACGCCGGGATCACGGCAATGGCCGCTGCCAACCTTCTCTTGGAGCAGATGCTCAGACGCCTTTGGGGTTGGGGTTTGGGGGTTCGGGGTTAGCTCATTGGGCGGCAGGAGGGAAGCTTTCGTAAAGGGCCGTGCACGCCTCGCTCTTCGCGCTGGAAATAGGACATGCTCGCCGCGTCACGTCTTGCCCCAAAACTTTCGAAACCCAAGCCCCAAACCGTGGTGCATCAGCCACTGGCAGAGCTCAGCCTTCGCCCCATGAGTCTTCAAGTCTTCAAGTATAACCCCACATCCCGAACTATGACGGTCATGATGACGGTGATCACATCAATTTTGATGATAGTGGCAGCCGCCATCTGCTGCCATTTCTACTGCTGCTA